GGATTTTCGGATTTTCAGCAACTTTATAAATACAAATACATACATGTATCGCGATATTTCAAATATCGTAGCGACTGAAACATGAGGCGACCTGGTGCAGCACATTCAGTTGCCTGAGAACATCAAAAACGAGAGATTCAGCTGGGTTCCAGGTGAGTCTCTCGAAAAAAAAACAAATTAGATTGCAAATGAATGTATATTCGAAAGACAGGCAATTCGAGTACAGACTGCTGAAACTGACTGCCCCCTCTAAGAGACAGTTAACTGCCACGTGACGGGGTTTTCTATCCAGCATTCATCTTGACTGACGTCACTGTGTGTATAAGAGCTCGGATGCTAGCACGTCAGTGAAATATTTTTGAAAACGTTAGTATGAAGGCGGACGTCATTCATCGCGTTGATCTACTCAGTCTCATGCGGGTGTTTGCGGTGCGTCACACTATTGTTTGTCTACGTGACCAACCGAGATGCTGGACTTGTGTATACCCACGTTTGTTTGAAGAGCGGAGCTACAGCTCGCTGGTTTTCCTCGGCTATTTTTCACCTTGTCATGTGTGAGAGCAGATATAATTTTTGCTTGTCGAAGGTTACGCAGTCATACTTCCAGGATCGGGAACAGTTATAGATCTATTACAAAAACGATTTACGATTGGTCCTCACTCGCCAGGAAGGGACGTGTCCTGTTCATGGGTACCGAAACTAAGGTTGCCCGGATGAACATAAGATGTCCGGCAGTGCTTTGCATTGCAAAATACCCGAGGCTCTCAGATTCACTCTGTGCTGATAGGGCGAGTGGAATCACCTGTTTTCGCTAAGACGCATTACGAAATTTAGAAAAAAGCGAAGAGGATTTTATCTGGTTTGTCCGCAAACATGTGCAAAAATCAACGTGATTCTACAGATGACAGCGGCGGAGTAAGCGTAAAAAGTTGTTCTCTGGGACTTGGATCTTAGCAAAAGATGCAGTGTTCATTTTTGTTAAGGGAAACGAACGCGGTGTCCGGTGTCACTGAGTTTTTAGAAAGGCCGACCGGATTCCCTACTCTGTGGAAGGTAACTGTTAGGCAGGAATCCACACGGATCCCGCTACACCGCACGTCTTCAGGTGTGGCTCGCACGAGACTGGCCAAGAATTCAGAACGCTTGCCGGTCCGGAATCAAGACGAGATCTGACTGGTCGAGAATCTGGACCCAACAACCCATCATGACCCAGTATTAGCCAAATGCCGGTTGCCAATGGCGCATCCAGAACGCGTCAGATATTCCAGAAAGCTATAACCGCCCACGTTATATATACGAAGCACTGTACAACTGTTCCTGACTTCGTTTTGGGCATTAATAAACCTTGTGCCCCGTTGGTAGTTGTTTTGACGTGAACGCTAGCTTGGGAGGCTCTGACCGAGAACTAAGCTGAGGAAAATACCGTTACTACTGTAACAGATGGACATATGTGTTAAGAACGAGTGTTCGTTTTCTTCAATTATGATGTACAACTATACAGGCTTGAAAGAGAGGGTAAGATAAACTTTTGCTACCTGGGGCTC